TAATTTAATTTCCATCAATAATTTCTGTTTATACAATTGTATTTAAAAACCAATGTTAAATTCTATTGTGAATCTATTTGCGTACACGAAGGGTCTCAGACTTTTGCATAGTAATGTATGCCCCTATGCACGTGGATACTACGATGGAAAAGCGCGTGTGAAGGGGTAAGCCGTTCGTAGATCATAGATAAGTATAGTCCACGCGCCAACGGGTGCATGCGCGAGTCAAAGGTTGTGGGAACCATCATTATTCCCATTTTTTTTTTCATTTCTATGAATATTGTAAATTAAAAAATTTTATAGCAAACTTAATTTAATTTCCATCAATAATTTCTGTTTATACAATTGTATTTAAAAACCAATGTTAAATTCTATTGTGAATCTATTTGCGTACACGAAGGGTCTCAGACTTTTGCATAGTAATGTATGCCCCTATGCACGTGGATACTACGATGGAAAAGCGCGTGTGAAGGGGTAAGCCGTTCGTAGATCATAGATAAGTATAGTCCACGCGCCAACGGGTGCATGCGCGAGTCAAAGGTTGTGGGAACCTGACCGTTCCGATGTCACACCTTGTCAGCAGCACGCGTGGTAACGCTGCTGGTCAAAGGATATTGCAAGCCGGCTGTGAAAAATGTTTTCAACTGCTTCCAGACTGTCGCTTTCTCCGACATAAGCGTTGCTAATATAGAGATTCTTAATACTTCCTACTCGCTTGATTTTCAATGACAGTTTTATGATACTTTCTGACCAAGTAATAGAAAAACTGGGTTTCATGGCTACAGAAAAGGAAAGTAGTATTGCCTGGTTTAGAAGGAGCAGCTTTGAATTTGCATGAAATTTGTATTGCGTTTTTTTTATTATTTTAATAGCTATTGCATGTAATCATTATAATCTGTCTGACCTTCCTGTAATTGAATATTATGATTGCGATGCCATAAAATTATTTAGATTACTCAATGATCCTTTGATGCTACGATGTAGTCTAATTTAGGCCGAGCCATTTAGATCTTCGAATATATACGTTCATACTTCACTAACTCCGTTTCCATGAAATTGCCACGGTAGAATGCACTGATTATACTCGAGCACGTTCTAAATTTAAATAAGTTCTTGTTTCCCTTTATGTAACCTCTATCATTACTTCGGAGACGCATTATGATATAATCACAAGTTATGTAATGAGAAAATACTGTCCGTTAAGTGCAGAAGAAATAACTTTGAATATTTCACCAATTCATTATAGCACAGTACTTCTGCAAATATAATTCATTATTTATTTATGCGATGTTTGAAAAAGATAAACTCCCTGATGTGTGAAAAAATGCACGTTGCTCCCTGCGTTGCTCACGTATAGCGAACGATTGTGCAACGATAAAACTCGAGATGTTTCGCATTCATAGAAATTTGTATCAGGGAAAAGAAAGAATTTGGTTCGCGAACACGTTTAATCCATTAGCGGCGTTTCTACGTTCGTCTTCCACGAGCGTGGGTTTCAATGAGCGAAATTTGCTCCGGGTAACAAGAAGCTCTGTCGCCGAGTAGGCGCACGGCGGAGTCGATTGTATACAGTACAACAACAGGTGCAGCGCGCGCGGCTCTGGGAACAAGAATGATTGCGCGATTCGACAAGGTACCGGAGCTGATGGGGGGGGTTGCAAAGCGCGAGGGCTGAAGGGGGCTGACGTCGTAAAAGCTGACGTCGCGTCGGTTTCGTTGCCGGTAGAATTTCGCTTTGCGAGGACAAGCGGCTTAGTCCGCCGACCACAGCGTCGATATAATTCATTGAATTCATTCACCATGTGCCTCCTTTAACCGTGCCGCGCCACGCCACGCACTGCACGCGCTAACTGAAATCGGGAGCCAGAAACTTCTTGCGACCCTTATTTATGGAATCACAGCTGCGCTTCTAGATTCCAGCGGATCGTGGGTTTTGCGGAAAAATGAGTTATCGGGTCTGGTTCTGGTCTTCATACTCGGGGAAAATGATATTGAACCACCTCGTATCTCGAAAATGTCTTCGTTTATTAAGGATGTATTGGCTATACAGTCAATCCT